TATTTTTATTTTATGTTAACTTAAAAAGCATGTATTTCAGATATGAAAGATTTGTCTCACATTACATTTTAGTAAGAATTTGCGTTCCAGTGCCAAGGATCATCTCTTATACATATTATTCATTATATCTGCACCCTATTTTAAATAAATAACAAATTATCTTCTTTAATATTAAGGTAATATTGTAAAGATACAGCTTAGAATAGGAAGCCAACTACATAAAATACTATCGTACATCTTGTTCCATATTGCTTTTACACGCAACCGACTTCCATTTATTTAATTGTATTCATTATTAAAATATTTTTTAATACAAAACATAAATTACAGTTTTAAGAACATTTTATAACGACAATGATAAACCAAATTAATGAGTCATTATCAGAAAAAAAAATTAATGATTAGTCGTTAATATCAACTGATTAAAAAACTGAATTATTTAAATCAGTGTTACTGAATGAATCTTTCATAGTATCAATGATGTATTATGAAAAACATCGTTAAATTAATATTTCAAAAATTCGCTTGCAAATGTGTTGTTACTAGTATTATTATAAAATTACAATTTTCATTGATAATATTTTACTATGAATTGGTGTTAAATATGTTGTAATAAGCTATAATAAGTTTGTGTCTCCTGACTGTCAACATGCATTTTCAACTGGAATCTACTTCAAAAATGTAAAATTCCGCAATTATTTTTAATAATAATTATGTTTTATACGTTTGTAAATTACAGCCAACAAAGTTTTTAACAAATCAATTTCTTGTATTGTGTTTATAGATAATATAAGCATTATAAGCACACAACCATAAATTTTAATAATAAATAGAGTTTAATAATCACGAAAGTTTTTAAATGGTTATATCACATAGTAAAAATATAAAAAACAAAAACATTGTAATTACATAAATACCAGTCACTTTTTATTTAGTTTATTTTAAATTGAAAATTATGTTTCATTTTGTAGAATGCATGTTAACAGAGAAAGAGACTAATAGTTTTTCGGTAGTATATTTTATATTACAGATAAGGTTGATTCGATATTTTTTGTTTAATTTAGAATCAAAATTTTCAATCACTTCCTAAGTAATACAGTATTTTATATTTTGATAAAATCTCTCTTATGACATTTACATTATATGATCATTTCAAGAAAGAGTTCAAGATCAAAAAAGTAATTGTTACTTTCATTGCAAAAAATGAATGCTATCAAATTTATTTTATATTAATTGAATTAATAAATTTCCTTTAGGTGTTTTTTTTTTATTTATTTAAATTTGTTTCGTTTCAATTTCAAACATTTTTATGAGTAACTGTAATGAAAATGATATATTCTGATATGCATAATGCACATTCATAGATGTTTTGTGTAAAAATCACTATACAACTATCAACATATTTGAAATTCACTTATGTTATTATTTTAAACAAAATTCACTTACCTGTCGAATTGGATTAAGATAATTATCAAAAACAAATATGTTATACGTATTTTCTTTTTTCCTAAGGGCAGTAATTTGTAATATTAAGCAGTGAGAATCAAATGTATGAAGAATGCGTGTAAAAAAATTCATGTGAGAGTTATGTAATATTAGTCTGTATACAGTTAATAATAATTTAGTAGAAGTTACACTGAATATTTACAACAAATTTCATTTAGATTGCATTTAATCATTTATATATTTTTTACTGTAAGATAGTAGAAAAAGTTGATATGAAACGGTTGAAGTCTTTTTTCTTTTTATAACAAATTTTTAGATACTTTATGTTTAATAAATACTTGTAAAAATGTTAGAGAATTACTTTTATTAACCGACTATCTACTGTAAACAAATATATTGTATATACATTTGGTATAGTAAAAATGTTATATTTCATATTATATAAGGTATCCAAAAATATCTAACGCAAAATTAGACTAATTCGTAAAAAATCGTATATATTTATGTAATAATAAAACATTTTTATTGAGCATTGCTTTTTTTTTATTCAGTCAAATTTTGCGCTAGATTTTTAAATATTTAATACATGAAAAGTTATTAAAGCTTTTATATACACTTAATATTATTCATTTGTACAATACATAAGTATAAATAATTTCCTAGTTTTTTATATGCATGAAATAAGCAAAAAGTTATATAAAATAATAAGTTCATTATGATTTTTTAATTGGCTACTAGATAACAAAAAATAGAGTAACAGAAAGGCATCTACTATTTTTAACTTAATGCATTTTCACCATCCTTGGACATGAACATTAAATATATCTTTTTACTTAATTCTAAGCCAATTTTACGTACAGTTGTAAGTGGTCCAGCAGCTCTTCTAATCTATAAAACATTAAAAATATATTTATGAAATATAAAGGAGAATAATCACAAATAATAATTATAATCAAAATTTATAATTTACCGGGATATCTTTCAACAAATTTATTCCTTCATTATCTGTACAATTCATATAAGCCTGAAAAAGAAAAGCAAAATAATAGAAAGAATAAAATCAGAGTGGTTACATACTAATATTTACTTCTATTAAATATGCAGGGCTTGGATATACAGAACAAATTGCTTCTGCAATTTCAAGGCTACTCAAATGAAATTGACAAAGCTGTTGCTGCCACAATCTTTTCAATCCATTTCCATCTTTATCTACACGCACAGTATTTCTATTGTCTCCCATTACATACCAATCAAATTTGTTTGTTAAATTTGTACTTTTTTCTAATTTATGTGGTATTTCTGCTATAGCCTTGGTACATTGATATACCATCAGTGCTAACTCTTCAGAGTTGTTAATTAATCTACTGCTGCATCCAGAAGTAATTTGTATTTCATTAAGACATGTTTCAAGTTGTTTCCTTGATATTTCTGGAGAGTTTTTGAACTTATCATTATTTTTAGAGCTTGTCTTTTGCATTCTATTTTTTTTCCCTCTTTTATCTGAATTGTTTCTTTGATTTTTAAATATAAAATAGTTTCCTATTTCAAAAATGACTAATATTATGTTATAATTTGGTAATAAATGCCTAATGCTAGAGATAGATGCACAAAAGCCGTCATTTGCTATTTTTGTTACTGTTTCATCCCAATTCCAAACTATTAATATTTGATTAACTTTTTCAACATCTGTTGTTGTACATATTTCATTGGATTCATTAACATAGCTATTTTCAATATTTCTTTTCCACATAATGCTATTTGAAATTAATTCTGCATTAATACTGTATTGCAAATTAGCATCTATCAGTGTCTTTACTATATCTGTAAATGGAGCAAAATTTTCCATACCTTTATCAAGAACAACTTCCATAAATTTCATGCATTCACCAGGTTTAATATTTTTAGACTTCTTAGATGCAAGTGCTTTTGATACTTTTTCTTTCATTAGTTGTTCCTGCCTTTTTAATCTTTCCTTAATTACTTGATCTTTATTTTTCTTTCCTACAATTTTAGCTTTCCTTTGTTTTCTTATGTTTTTACTTTCTTCATATGAATTTTCTGCAGAATCAGATGAATTGGTCACATTATACAAAGACTTTTTAACTTTATGCTGTTTTGAATTCTTATTAAGAATAGTATATTCATAATTTGTTTGCTGTGATAAAGCATAGGAATTAAAATTTGGAGAAGGACTTTTATTGTGTATATTCTGTAAGTTAATTGTTTTATCCTCATTAATGGCATGATCAAATTGTATTTCAGGAAATTCAAAGTCACTTAAATCAAAATCATCATGCGAAGATTTCTTTTCACTTTTATCTTCAGCATTTTTCTGTTTATCAACTAATTCAGCAGATAAAACAGATTCATTTGAATCACTCAAAACAACTATATCCGACATTTCAATTATGTTTTAGTAAATTTCGTATTAAAATATTACATTTCTCTTCTTTCTTTCTTATTATGTATAATTAAATGTTTGCGAAAACAAAAATGACTGTATGTACTGAAATCATTCTCTCATTATTCAAATTATACAGTGTGATTCAAAACACTCGTGCGTGTAAAAGTATATAACGAAGCGTTACAAAAGCGACAAATAGTTGTACTAAATATACAGTGAATGCAATAAGTAAAAACATTCACCAATGAAATAATCTGACGAAATATAATACTTTAGAAGCTTAAAGAAGATATTTTTTGATTGGTTGTTGCATTCTCATGAGAGTAGCATATACTGTGTGTTCTGTGTAAGCATCGCTTTAATGTTCATGTTCCAAGCTTCGGGCGTAGACCGGTTTTGTTCAGCTATCGTTCACTTTTCAACTCTGGCGGAAATAATGACGTCATAAATGAAGAGTAGATGGCAAATGGGTGATACATCGAAGTGATATGGAATTATATATGTTGGAGTTTGGTTTTCAATGTGACTCATTTTGGTAAAAACGAGAAATAGTTTTGCGTGTATTTTATTAACGATTCCATAAGTTCTAAACCGTAGTCTTTTCATGAAGGTAAGAGATTATTATTTCATTCGATATTTTCCGTATGCAAGTGTGAACATTTTTTTTGAATAATCAAAGCATTCTGACGCACCCTTACTCTTTTCAAACATTCATATCTCGTTATCAAGATTATACCTTTCAGTCTCTTTTTTTTGCAAAGAACGAATAAGAAGCGTGCCATTATTACTTATAATTTATATATAACAGTGTGTTATTTTAATAAATTTTGCAAATACCACAACAATAAAGAAGTATAAAAAAATTAATAAAAAGATAGCTTATAATAGTTTGACATTTTTTCTAATTTATTTAATTTACATTGATTTAATAAATTATCTGTACCATACTACAAGAGCACAGGTAATTTTCTCATTATTTTATATGAATGTGATAAATATTTGTCTGTTCCTTTAATTTCCAGAATTGATTTATTTGAAATAACCAAAATGTCAGACCACTTCGGCCCAATAACTCTGAAATGGGATCCCAAAAATTTAGAGATCCGTACTATGTCTGTAGAAAAGACATTGGAACCTTTAGTTTTACAAGTAACTACACTTGTAAATACAAAGGGTCCCAGCAAGAAGAAAAAAGGAAAGTCAAAAAGAGCTAGTGCTTTAGTTGGAACTGTAGAAAAAGCAACTAGCAATTTTATTGAAAAGGGTGAACAAATAGCTTATGAAAATCCTGATATTACTGCAGAAATGTTAAGTGCTGTTGAGGAAGTAAGAAAAACAGGTGCTGCAATGAGCATTGCTGCCAGGTATTATTTCTTTCATATTTTTTAAATGTATGAAGAATTTTAAGTACGTTTTATTATTATTATTGTTATTTTTAGAGAATTCTCAGAAGATCCTTGTTCTTCTTTGAAAAGGGGCAATATGGTTCGTGCAGCAAGGAATTTGTTATCTGCAGTGACACGTTTGCTTATTTTAGCAGATATGGTTGATGTACATTTATTACTGAAATCATTACATGTAGTAGAAGATGATTTGAAGAAATTAAAGAATGCATCCTCACAAGGAGAATTATTAGAAAATATAAAACAATTTGGAAGAAATACATCAGAGCTTATGAATCAAGCTGCAAAACGTCAACAAGAGCTAAAAGATCCCCAATTAAGGGATGATTTAGCTGCAGCAAGAGCTGTTCTTAAAAAGCATTCTACTATGCTACTTACTGCCTCCAAAGTTTATGTTCGACATCCTGAGCTAGCTGCAGCAAAAGCAAACCGTGACTATGTTTTGAAACAAGTATGTGAAGCTGTAAATACCATCAATGATGTGGCACAAGGGAAAACTCCAGTTGACAGTCAACATCCTTATGAAGGGCCTGGAGAATTGGCTGCTGCTTTAGATGATTTTGATGAAAGAATGGTAATGTCTCCACTTGCATACAATGAAGTACGTACAAGACCCAGTCTTGAGGAAAGACTGGAGAGTATTATCAGTGGTGCTGCACTGATGGCAGATTCTTCTTGCACTCGAGACGAGCGTAGAGAACGCATTGTTGCAGAATGTAATGCAGTTAGGCAAGCACTTCAAGATTTGCTGAGTGAATATATGAATAATGTAAGTAGTTCATACATCTTTATGTTTCTGTGATTCAAAAACATATATCAATAAGTTTTCATAATTACAGCAATGTAGAGAAATTTAATTATGTTCAGTTTTTATAATTTATTTTGGTTTGTATCTCTCTCTGTAACATAGCATTCAAATGTACAATACATCATTGCATAATACATACACAGAAACATATGCATTCACAAACATATCCCTAACACATAAGTAACTATATTATTATTTGACACAATTCTTAGTAAGTTCATTCTACTCATTTATTTTTTATTTTTGATGACTGCAGTTACAGCTTGCTCGGGGTGGGAAAAGGGTAAATATGAAATTCTTGTGTTTTTTCACTATTCTTGCATAAAATTTGCAGATTCAGCAAGACGTTTTTGTTGCTAAAATATTGTGTTAATCACAAGTATGACTCATACATTATCTAATAACAAGCACTAATCAAATAATTTTGAATAAGTCAGTGTTCGCAGACTTTTCAATTACCCCCTAATCTGCACAATAGTATATACTACATTGTTTCATTATGTAGGATATATAAAATAAGAAATATTACTGCACAATATGTAATATTCAGTTAATAGAAATAAGATAACTTATAGTGTAGATGAGTAGTGCATATTTTAAACGTAATTTAAAATTTGCATAATTTGCATTTTTTTATAATTATTTTATTTTACATTCTTTTTCTTATGTTTGCTTGTGTACATAGCTTCTTAAAAAAAAAAAGCTAATTTCCATATAACAAATAGACATGTAACTTTTATAACTAGTATGTTAAATTGTAAGATATACTAAACAACTACATTAAAGAAAGTATAGCATCTTCCAAATAATCAAGTAAAATCAGTTTGTTAGTCAATTATCATCTACCCTTTCAATAATCAGTAAAAGATTCTAACATCTTGCACTCTAATGCTGTTAGTAAAACAAAAATAGCATAGATCTTACATGAATATCCATAAATCATTTATTATTTTTGCTAATCGAATATGTCTTTTAACAGATGGGTGTTAAAGAACAATCAGAAGGTTTGGAAAGAGCAATTGATCATATGTGCCGAAAAACTCGCGATCTTCGTAGACAATTACGAAAGGCCGTAGTGGATCATGTGTCTGATAGTTTTCTGGAAACTAGCGTACCTTTGCTGGTCCTCATTGAAGCTGCAAGAAATGGCCGTGACAAAGAAGTAGAAGAGTATGCTCTTGTTTTTACAGAACATGCTAATAAACTAGTCGAGGTATATTGTTATACTGTATTCATCTGAAACATTTATTTTATTATACTTACTAATATGAATATTATATTTATTCAGGTTGCCAATTTAGTGTGTAGTATGTCAGGAAACGAAGACGGTGTAAAAATGGTTCGTTATGCGGCAGCTCAAATTGGAAATTTATGCCCGCAAGTGATTAACGCAGCACGTGTACTGGCAGCTCGTAATCGATCTAAGGTAGCCCTAGATAACATGGAAGTATTTCGACAAGCATGGGAAAATCAAGTGAGAGTATTAACAGAAGCCGTCGATGATATTACTACCATTGATGATTTCTTAGCTGTATCTGAGAATCATATCTTAGAGGACGTAAATAAATGTGTACTAGCATTGCAAGAAGGTGATGCCGATACCTTAGATAGAACCGCAGGTGCTATCCGCGGAAGATCTGCCAGAGTTTGTAATGTTGTTCAAGCAGAAATGGATAATTATGAGCCTTGTATTTACACAAAACGAGTTTTAGAAGCCGTGAAAGTTCTAAGGGAACAAGTGATGCCGAAATTTGCACAGAGAGTAGAAGTCGCGGTAGATGCATTGGGCAGTAATCCCGCTAAAGATGTGGATGAGAATGATTTTATAGATGCATCCAGACTAGTCTACGATGGAGTTCGTGAAATTAGACGTGCAGTTTTGATGAACAGAGTAAGAAAATGCAGAATTTTATATAAAGTTTGTATTTTCTTTGACCACATTCTTTCCATACATATATTTGTCATATTTTAGGCGGACGAGGACTTAGATCCAGAAGATGTTGAACTTGATGAACATTATACATTAGAAACTCGAAGTAAATCGAGTGCTCAAACTGGTGAGCATGGTGTGGATGAATACCCAGAAATTAGCGGTATTACAACAGCTCGTGAAGCTATGCGTAAGATGCCAGAAGAAGATAAACAGAAAATCTTACAACAAGTAGAGTACTTTAAGAGTGAGAAACTGAAGTTCGATAAAGAAGTTGCCAAATGGGACGATGCAGGAAACGATATTATTGTTCTTGCAAAGCATATGTGTATGATAATGATGGAGATGACAGATTTTACTAGAGGTCGCGGACCTCTGAAGACAACTATGGATGTCATTAACGCAGCAAAGAAAATTTCCGAAGCTGGAACGAAATTAGATAAGTTAACAAGACAAATAGCAGATCAGTGTCCAGAAAGTTCTACTAAGAAAGATCTTCTGGCATACTTGCAACGTATAGCATTGTATTGTCATCAAATGAATATTACAAGTAAAGTTAAAGCAGATGTACAAAATATTAGTGGAGAATTAATTGTATCTGGACTTGACAGTGCAACTTCCTTAATTCAAGCAGCAAAGAATTTAATGAATGCGGTAGTTCTTACTGTTAAGGCTTCATATGTTGCATCAACAAAATATCCTCGACAATCTACAGTAACCGTAAGTATTGCGCACGCGGTTCAATTACCTGTATAAGTTCAACGTTTTATATTCTAAATAAGTTAATTATATCTACCATTTACATGTATAATTAACATTAATGTTAAAACTTTTTTACTAACTATCCATTGGACTATGTAGTATGTAAGTATTTATACAACAAAAGTGTAGTAATTTTTTGAAAATTATAACTATTACTTGCATTTTTATTTTTATAATTAACATTTGTTTTGTTTGTTTAATTAGTCTCCAATCGTAGTCTGGAAAATGAAAGCACCAGAAAAGAAACCATTAGTACGTCCGGAAAGACCAGAAGAAGTTAGGGCAAAAGTACGTAAAGGTTCACAGAAAAAAGTGCAAAATCCAATACATGCGCTTTCCGAATTTCAGAGTCCTACAGAAAGTGTTTAAAGTTTTATGTGTAAGTAATTTAATAAAAATGGAACCTAGTATACAGCATCACCTTTGAAAAATCATATAAGCAAGATGTTTTATTTTCTATTGAGTATAATATTGAAACACAAATTCTGTGTTTATTGTTGATTTAGTATGTACCATGAAATATAAAACATAATAATCACTCTTTCTGCAAAACTATATCCTTAGACTGCCAAAGGAATGGAATTAAATGTTTTGTATTAAATGCTGATACATATTTTAAATATCACAAATGCACAATCATATGATAATCTATTACGTATAATATTTGCTAGTAACAGAGCAAGTAAAAAGCAAATTTTAAATGTTAAAAGAGAAATTAATTTCATGGTTATGATTGTGATAAATTAAAAATATTCGTAATAGAACTATAACAGATTGACAACTTGAAAATAAAATATCTTGCACAAAAGAAGTGTCACCATTCTTTATAATGATTGATTCATAAATGATTGAAAAACAAAAAGTACGGTATATGATCGTGTCAATTTTTAAAAAACCTTTAATTAGATCTCAAAGATTGACCTCTTTTTCTAAGATATATGTGAACTTTATATTTCGATTAATAAGGTGTCAAAAATTTTTCATAGAATATAAGAGTGATCTACAATTTAATGCAGCATTATTTGATAATTCATAATGATTACAGCATTTAAATCACTATGAAATATTCATAAGTAAATTACATTTTGCTTACACTATGTTTATAATTTTACTTTATTCATAAATGCCTATAATTGAATATATTTTTTTGCTAATGAAATTTGCAATAAAAAAAAATACGACTATAATACTTAATTGTGTAATACAATCTGTAACATCAATTAAGTATATTCTAGCGA